TTCCTTGCTTCTGTCTTAGTTCCATGAACTACAGAGCTATTATTTCCTCATTGCACTATGAGGATACGTAGGCACAAGATTGCGAAATCTTGGCGAGACACCTTCTCATTTCCTTCTCTGGTTCCATGAACTACGGAGCTCTGAATTCCTCATTGAACTGTGAGGATACGTAGGCACGAGGACCCCAATCCTCCGTGAGCACTTTCTTTGTCCCTTTTCCTTCCCTTTCGCGAGTAACCTTTAGATAGAACATCCATCCGAGCCTAGAAGCAAGCAGAATGGTTCCCGTTGAGTACAACGAATGCGTGGGGTGTTAATACCTTCCTCTCGTATAACTGACTCCCTTACCCGTTTTTCTTCCCCTTGGGTTTTATTGATATTTTCTCTTTCCTTTTGGAATAAATAAAGTGCGGTGGCGACTCTATAGTGCCACCGAGCGTGCGATGCGCTCAGGTATATTCCTGCTAGCTTCAATACTCCTTCTTTCTTCCTTGATGTGTGTTCTGGTGAGGAAATGATTGAGGTGTGTCTATGCTCAAATCACTTAAACCATAATGAGAAGTTTATAAAGTTCTTATGTTGAGCTTTAGTGAGTTCAGGGTTGTAAATTTTACAGGGGTTTAGTGAAGACTTTTCTTGTTTTTTTATAAGTTGCAGAGGATTATATTTATATGGTATTGGGGTGAATTTAAGAGGGAAGAGAGTCAGTTAGAGGGATTTTTTTAGGGGGGGGGAGTTGGGATCCTCGTGAATATGTCAAAAGGATTGAGATGAATTTGAGACTAGATAAGTGAGCTGGTAGTAAGAAACTCATGAGGGAACCTTGATGATGGTATGACATGTTAGTTGTTTTGATGATGTATGTTGATGAATTGAGTTACACATTTTTGCACTTGTTTGAATTATTCAATTTTATTTTAAACGTGTGTGAATGTAGATGTTGTGTATGTTGGTGATGATATGATATTGATGATGAATGAACAAATGAGTTGTTATGCATTGATTTGCTCCATTTTTTTTAAATTCATTCATTTCTTATTTCACCGCCTATACACCTATGAGGTACCCCATACGTGTATGGACTTCCAACTCATGCCACAAAGACCAAGCCAAACCCCTAGGCATATGGGTCCAAGCAGGCCATACGCGTTTGATGAAGTATAAAAAAGGATCATGAGCATGTCAGAGAGAGCAATACGCGTATGACACGACCCAAATCTAAAAAAGCTTAAAAGTGCCTTATTTAGCCAAAGAACGTGAATTTCTAAGGGTTGGACAAGTTTTCACTACAAGAACACGTTTTAAAGGCTGCAGAACTCAGATTTTATGGTAAATCAAGATTTTCATGAACCCTAAGTGATTTAGGACTTAACTTCATCTCATTATATGTAATGTCTACACTTTGTATTATGTTTTTATTTTTCATTATGTGTAGCTAAACCTCTCAATGCTACGGATGTCCCTGATTTTTGTTAATGATTTCAATTTGAGCCTAGTGACAAAAACACTTTTTTATATTTGATTTAAATTCAATTTGTTCTTAATGATTTCTCTTTCAGAAAAATTAATTTTGATTTACGGTTAATCTTTAGATTATGCCCCCATTGGTAACACTCAATTTGAATTATTTTGTTGTAGATATCACATAGGACTAGGGGTCTCCTGTGGGAACCAGATTATCCTTGATAAACAAAATTCTTAAATTCATATGTAATTCAATATAGACATCGGAGTTGATTTGAATGTTTAAAGGTTTACTCATTGAGGACTTAGGAGTAAACATCCTTAAGAACCAATTATCATTATTCTGAAATAATTTGTTGCAAGGTCGTGTCATAAATTTTTAAAGAATCCAACCATACACCTTCCTTAGCATGTTCACTCATATTACTCTAAATCGTTCAACTACTCTGTTTACTTTTACTCACTATTTTATCTTCTATTTCTAAAACAACAATTGGAAACCCCCAAGTCTTTTGTTTAACTGAATTAAAACACGAACTTTGTATCATCAAGCAGTCCTTGAGATCGATATTTAGGATTTTCCATTATTAATATATTGGCATATTAGTGAATTTACTAATTTACCGATCATATTTTTGGCGCCGTTGCTGGGGACGGCCAAAGATTATAGAGTTTAAGTTTTATTTTAGTTAAAATTTTGTTGCTCGGCAACTAAAATTTTATTTCAGTTTTTTTTTTTTATTATTTTGATTCGGTTACTGCTAATATATGTGTGATATTTGTATGTGAGGAGAACCCTCAGCTTATTTTTCTTTTGACATATAACCAGAAAGAACATCACATGCTCGACTCAGACAAGCTCGTCAAGCAAAGCTGGAAGTTCAAGAGGAATTTAACTATAACCATTCAGATACAAAATCAAATAGAGAAGAAAAGACACCAGTTATGGCTGAAAATCAAGAAGAAATACTTCTTGGGGATTATGGAAGAACAAAAGCCACAGGCGGTCATTTAACCATAGTCAACCAACCAATGAATATTCCAAACTTTCAGTTGCACCCAACTACTATCCATCAAATCAAGAAGAGACCTTTCACAGAAAAATCAATGAAGATGAAAATAAACATCTGTAAAGGTTTCTGACTATGACTACTACTCAGAATATAGAGGGGCACACTAAAGACAGAAATTTTTTTAGAATATTTCCATTTATCTTAGTTGAAGATGTCGAAGAATGGTTTTACTCATTGCCTGTTGGAAGCATCACCACTTGGAAAAAATGGAAACAACCTTTCTGAATGAGTACTTTCCTACTTCAGTTTTTCTCAAGAAAAGATACAACATCCTCAACTGTAAACAAAATGAGGGTGAACCACTGGGTGATTCATATAAGAGATTCAAGAGGTTACTTGTTTCTTATCCTACTCAAAACCTAGATCAAACTCAACAAATATAGGTGTTTATTAATTGTCGCAGTGCAAAAAATACCCGAGCGCATCGCACGCCTGATGATACAACAGAGTCGCAACCAAACTTTATTTATTCTAAAGGAAAAGAAAAATATCGATAAAACCCCAAGAGAAAGAGAAACGGGTAAGGGGTCAGTTATGCAAGGGGAAAGTATTGTCATCTTTCACATTTGTTGTACTCAGACAGAACTATTTTGATTGCTCTTTGCATAGATGGATGTTATTATCTAAAGGTTACTTGCGAAAGAGAAGAAATAAGTTTTAAATTAGTGTACTCATCAAGCATTCGAACTCTCGTGTCTACGTATTCTTATAGTGCAATGAGAAAATCAGAGCTTTGTAGTTTATGATAGAGAATACTGATTTGTTGGTTGATTTTAGGAAACAATTATAATCGTATACAAGAAGTGTGTAGACACTAGCTGATTTAATCCTAGTTCGGATCCTCTAAGCTTTTAGTATGACTATTAAGGAATGGATTATAATAGTTCTTTTTATGAAAAGAAAGAAAATTATTTTGAAAAAGGTTTGTGTGATAAAAGAAAAAGAAAGAGTTGCTTGAATTAAATTTTAAAAAAGTAAGTTTGAATTGGTTGGGAAAAGTGTTGTTAAGGTGTGGTGAAAGTATTATTTGGACCAAGATTGTGTTGTTTGGATCCATAGGATAGAGTATTTGAATCAAAGAGTGCAGCCTTAACCAATAAATGGTGTGGCCAATATAGAATTGTAGGATTTTGCCTAGATCCAGAGATCAAGACCTACAAGAAGGGGTATTTGCCTAAGCATTGGGTCTGACAAGGAAAACATGCATGAAGAGTGCTTTCCTAAGCACTATGTCTGACAAGACAAGCATGCATGAATGGTGATTTCCTAAGCATTGAGTCTAACAAGGAAATCATATATGAAGGGGTTTGTCTAAGCACTGGGACTGGTAAGACAGATATGCATGAAAAGCGTTTGTCTAAACATTAGGTCTGACAAGACAATAAAAGAAAAGGGATCTTCCTAAGCAATAGGGCTAACAAGGCAAACATGTATAAGAATGATGGGTTTTCCTACGCATGAGACTAACAAGGAAAACATGCATGAGGAGTATTGATTCAAATATGGGTACTTAAATCATTAGGTGGTTAACCCAAAGAATGCATGGGTGTCAAAGAGAATGAAGTGTTTGATCCAAAGAAAAGAGTATTGTTGATGTTGAATGTTGCAATGTGGTATGTGGTCTGTGGGGAGGAAGAGTTATCAATTATTTGATTTGAGTTGCACTAAAGTCTATGAACGGAGGCAAATGCTTTGAATAAATGGGGCCTACATCCCGTATTCAAAGGTACTCAGAACAAGGACATGAATAATTTCTCTCATTCTTCTTTGTTGCTTAAGACTTGTGGCACACAATTCACATCATAACTGACAAGTGTTTAAAGAAGAATTTTTTTATTGTGCTTGAAAGATTGAGCAGTGGTCTAGTCCTAAAGTCCAGAGTCTTCTGATTCTTGCATGAGAAACTTAACTTGACTTGAGATCCAGTGCAGTGCCAATGCATGACTAATTCCATCAAATGATCAAGAGGTTTATGACCACTTGACTGGGAAAGCAAATAAATGTCAAATGATTAATTGATCAAAGTTGACATTAATCAATCAATCAATTAGAGACATGATCTAGACATACAAACATATGGATTTCAAAATGAGCATAAAATTCTAAAGAAATTGATGGAATTGATTGAATTAATTCTAACACTACTTCTAAGAGCTATCCAATTCCATATTACCATCTAATGTGTATTACTATCTTTTTTTAGAAATTTTTCAATTAAGAAAATGGATTGTGGGATTAAAATCTATTAAATCCTAAGCATTACTATTTTTCTAAGTGTTTTTCATATCAAATGAAATATGAAAAAAGTATTTAAAATGTGTATTAAATAAGAAATATTAATCATGAGTTATTCATGAATTAAGGGGGATTTATGGTTAAATGGGTCGGCCCAGGCCCTGTACTCAAACTCTACTTGTATGTTGTCTCGTATTATTCAATACTAGTAGTGTATTTTCCATTTCCATGGCTTTCCTCAAAAACCTTCTCTCACGACGACGCCGTTTCCACTCACACATAAACCCTAAAACCCTAACTTCCCTCCACTGCAATTTCACGCTCAGACCCATCGCAACCTTACCCCAAACCCAACCCCCAAAATCCCAAACCCAGCAAACCGAAAAACCTCTCAGCACTTTCTTCTCCGGAGTAATGTCAGGCAAAATCACAACAATAGAAGAAAACGGCGAAGGTGACATCGATATGAAGAAAAAACTGAAGCAGTTAACGGAAGAAATTAGAATCTTGAAGGAGAAAAAAACAAAAAGGGTTCCAATTTTAACGAAAGATGTTCCAAAGAAAATTGAAAAAATGAGCTTATTTTCTGCGTTTACCAATCAACCTCTTCCTGATGGTGTTATAAATACGAAAAAGGAGGCAGAGAAGAAGCAGAAGCCTAGGGAACCTTTTGTTGTTAAGGAGCTTTCAATTGATATGGTGGTGTTTTTGAAGTATTTGTACGAAAATGGGTATTTTAAGGATGCTAAATTTGTTAATGTTCATGAAAGATTTGATCTTGGTTGGTTTGAGAGTCCTTATGCTTTGGGGTATGCGAAGTTTGCAGCACAGAAATTTGCATGTGATAATCGTGACATTGCCAAGTAAGTTTTTTGATAATAATGATGATGATGAGCTTGGTTTATGTTAAATGGTTGTCTTTATATGTTTGATTTAGTGAGAATATGAATTTAAAAAAATGTGAATACTTTAGATGATTGCATTTATATGCTTGATATTAGGGATTAAAGAGCATTGGAGAAAGTTAATTGGGCCTATGCACTTATATATGGTTTGAAAGAGCTTGTAAGAATATATTTTTTTGGCGAAATCGATTGTCTATTCCTTTCGGAGGCACTCCTGTTTGAGGATTTGAATTATGGTTCAACATGTAGTTAGAGCTTAGCTCATTATGTTTAAACTAAACCCTGCTATGTTAAAAGAATAGCTTATATTATGATCATTAGTTGTTTCGATCTTTGTTTCGTAAGCAACTTATGGGAATCTAGAAGAACCGGTTCTCTGTAGCTAAATTGGTTGTTTTATCAGTAAATTAATATAAAACCCTATTCTTACATCTAAGATTTAAAAAAATCGTCAAAAATTATGTTTTCGTAGTTGTTAATACTGAACGACGATACTGAGAGTGGGATACATGCAATATGGCCAATAACTTTTGATCTTGTAACTTCAAAAATGAATGAGTCCCCTCTTACATTAGATTGTAAATAAAGGATATTCGAAGGACATCTTTTTGACAAAAACTTGAAATTACCTCTCTTTTATTATAAGTTGATGCAAAAACTACTATTGCCCTGGAACCGAGTCGTCGAACAGAAGAGTTGTTGTAACTTGTGAGATACAAATCTTGCCAATTCATGATGATAAATGAGCATATAAGATTATGATCTTGTTAGACATTGAGGATTGTGAGTTCATTTCCCGTAATTGTTAGATGTATTAGAATATATTGACGGCTTATAACATGAATATGGATTCACAGATGGCTATCAGGAAGTGCAGTAAAGCAAGTGGCTGTGTTTGGCTGCCCCTCCACCGGCAAGAGTTGTGTCTTCCCTGTGAAAAGACTGCGGAAATTTTTCGAGGTTCCAGAAAATACAGTAAGGCATATAAGATGCATAAATAGTTTCATCATGTTTTGTGACTTATATTTATACGTGCATCTTCTTACCCGTGTTATTTACAGTTTCATTTTCCTTCAGGTTTGTGGTAAATGCATGCTGCGAGAATCATGCAAGTTTGCGAATCAAAATGTGTGGAAGTGTGATGCCAATAAATTGGACATGGAGTTAGTTATGAAGGTTGTGATTTCATATGCTTTACACTTGGTGCATCCTCAGCTGGTAGTGTCTGATGAAGTGAACAAGTCTGTAAATCAATTACTGAACGAGTTTGTGAAACTGAGTAAAATCACCTGAAAAACGGCTTCTGGTTAACTGAGAATAACTTGTACTGCTTGAACTTTTTCTCGCACATCGTTGGGAAATCGAGACAGTCATCATATGAGGTGAATTTACAGGCCTAGAATTGTTTTTCCTTTGCAGACAATTTTGGAGATTCCTTTTCTTGCTCCACAAGTCTAAGATTTTCAATGATGCTATTAATTTTTGGAGATTCCTTTTCTTGGCCTTAAAAAAGAATAAATTTGTCTGGAAGATCTACCATATGAAATTCTGATCTGACAACTGAGTGACAAGGTTTTCTTTGGTGGGCATCCCTTCGAAAAACCGCTTAAGGTGGTTGTAGAAAAATCTGCCATGTCATTCTGCCATTTAACAACAGATACACAGATACGGATTGGTTGGTTTTTAGCTCCCTCACAGGATTCCTGTTAATTCTCCTCTATATTGCTTAAACTTGAAGTTTCTGTAATCAGCTCACACTGGCATTTCACATCTACTTTTGAGGGAATATTCATGATATCCATATGAAAATTCTATTAGGTCTTTCGAATTTTTATGCAACAATTTTTTTTAAAGTTATTTTATTGTATATTTAGTATGAACATGCAGTAAAAATGCACAAATTAAAAAAAAAAGAAATATAATTTTTCCGCATCTTTTGTGCAAATTAAACTACTACAAAAAAAACGCATTATAGTGGGTTTTTTTTTTCAATTTGTGAGAATTTTTAACTTTTGCATATTTAAAATAAATATTTAGTAAAAAGACTTGGTTTAGAAAATACAGATGCAATTTTTCCACATTTTTATGTAACAATAAATGTTCTATAAAAAATGAGGAATGATTTTAAGAAAATGTAGAATAATTTTTGAACTTTTTACATTTAGTTCGAGTAGAGCTGCAAGTTGACAATTAAGATGTTGTTAATACAATCTGGGATAACAATAATTATCTGAAAGGTATGAATTTAATCTGTAAAATCAAGATAATTACGGAAGGAACATCGGAGATCAAAGTAGCAAAGGTATGAATTTAATCTGTAAAATCAAGATAATTACAGAAGGAACATTGGAGATCAAAGTAGCAAAAATATATCGTGATGCTAATAAGTGTGCTGACACTTTAGCAAAGTTTAGCTTGAATCTCTGATGAAATTTAAATTTTAATGAGTGTTTTGATTTTATGCTTAATGTATTGTTAAGAGATATCACTGACGTTGGTTGAGTTGTGCGGTTTGTTTATTTTGGGCTTTTGCTCTCTTCAACTACACAAAAATCAATCGAAACATCCTACGATTGTAAATAAAATAACGTGAATCTATCCTCCATTTTGTATAAATTGGCAATACTAATCCTGCAATAGTTTTTTACTCATTTTTCGAAATTCACCTCCCACACACGCAATTTTTGAATTCTCGCAATATTGAAAATTTCAATTGGCTTATCGAAAAAATTTTAAAAACAATATTTTTTTATTGTAAATAATGAAATATGGGTGATTTTTTTTTACCGTAAATTTCAAAATTTCTGGTAATAGTGAAAATATTTACCCTAGAAATTTCACAATTTGTGATACAAAATGACCTGCGAATCTCCAAAAAATTTAGAATTTTTAGAATTTTCGATAGTTATAAAAACTTTGTATTCCCCCGAAAAAATTAGGAAAAACTTTGTTATTAGTCTTTTTATTTTTTCTGTTTTTTGCAGTGAAATACAGGGACAGATACGGTTCCGCGCACCCCGTAGCACTCGATGTCATGCGGTTAGATCAGTTGAGCAGTTCAGAGATGATGTTGAGATTGGTCATGCATAGGATGTTCATAACCCAACGGTCGAGATAGATGTGATAGATATTGTTGCTGAGGTTGCAGACGAGGTGGTTGTTGATAAGGTGGTCCAGCCAGATGTTGTTGTTGTAGATGAGGTGGTCCAGCCAAATGTCACTATTGCAGATTAGGTGGTCCAGTCAGATGTCGTTGTTGCTGATTTGGTCTCATATGTTATTGCTGACACATAGGTTACGGTTCCTTCGACCGAGTCGTTTGTGCACGCTGATGGAGGATTCTCAGGAGGACCATTGAATGGTCGGTGCTCATTGAGTACGCTAACCATGTGGCATACAAACTATGGCAATGAGAGGTATATATATATATATATATATATAAATATTTTATGTTTAACTTTAATTTTTTTATTATTGTTCCATGAAAGATAATTGCTAATTTTTTAATTTGTTTGTTATAGGACACTCTCCCACTGAAGGTGACATCGCACGGGTCAAAGCTGAAGAAGTTCCTGAAGACTCCGATGCCTGAGCAGGTCATGCATATTGCACATGAGTTTGAGCTCTTTGATTTTGTCGTCTCCTCACTTAATGCTCAACGTTCTACTTCTTATTGCTTTTGTTGAGCGATGGCAGAAGGATACATCTTCATTTCATCTTCCATTTGAAAAGATGACTATCATTCTAGATGATGTCTCCTCATTGTTCCATCTCCCCATCGTCGGAAGATTCTGGACGACTCTAGTTATTAACATGTCGCTTGCATGTTTAACTACTGCACGAGATTTGGGAGTTTTTGAGGAGGTCGTGCTGGAGGAGTTTGGCTTTAACAGAGGAGTTCCCCTTCGTATGTCTAGGCTTCGGGATAGGTACAAGTACCTTATTACGGCATAGAGTTATGAGGTTGCCGCTAAGGTGTACTTGTTATATCTAGTAGCATGTACTCTCTTTGCAGACAAGTCAGGTGTTTATATTGATGTCTGGTATGTGTAGTTGTTCAGTAGCCTTGACGTTACCATTTGGGCTTGGGGGTGCGTTACGTTGACCATCTTGTATACAACACTTGGAGTGGTGACAACATTTGATACCAGACAACTTGTTGGTTATTTGAGTATATTACAAGTATACTTGAAATTATTATTTGTTGTTGATTTATTATTTAATTGTTACAAATAAAATTTCTTAATTACTATTTGTTGTGTCTGTGTTATGATATCAGTACTGGATATACGAGCCTTTCCTCACCATCTGTGACAGGAGGGTGCAACATTCCCCAATAGGGGCCTCATGGGTGAGGAGATAAAGGGTCATGCAGTCACATCCTAGTGGTGTTGCTGAGTACAGGAGGATGCTAGATGCATTGATTGTAGATGATGTCATCTTGACATCATACACTGATCATATAGTCCACCATGAGCTTGATGACTCTTTTTTATATTTAGGTTATATGTTATGGGAGACCATGATCGATAGAAACTTGCCTGAGAGGTTTCTGCGACAGAGTGGTTATGTTTAGAGCATCCCACAAGTAGTTTCGGATATTCCATATGCGTGCATTGGCAGGATTTCAGATTAACATCATATGCCCTGGTCGTGCCATTAGCTGTCGTGCAGTTACAGTTCATCACGCCTCGCAGTGTGAGGATGGTTACTTATAGTGGTACCTCACTGTATCACACCCTTGCATCATCCCACCAGTTGAGCATATAGATGATGTTAGGCCTTTCGATGTTAGGGTATCTGTCGATGACATGTCGCCACCGCCGCCTCTTACAACTAATGTCGATGACTAGTAAAACCTACAGGTGATTGTAGTTATTATGGATAACCTTATGGGTTTAGTAAACCCAAATGGCAAGGTTTATACTAGATTATCTCATGTTTCACACATATCCCTTGGGGACCTATTTAGACATTATTGTTATCTTTATGTATTATTTGTATATTACATGTAACATTACTCACACATCTTAATTAGAACTTTTTATTTGATAATATTTTTGATCTTCCATTGATGCAACATTAACATAAATTAATATTTGACAATGGATTACATAACTTAAACATAACTTAGAAAAAAAATAAGAAAACCTAGACACTACCATAAGATTTTGGACGTTTCATCATCTTAATTATGTCGTCGATAGACCTTAAAATCTTAACATCTAACTCGATAGGCCCTTTTCTTAACTTACAACTAAATGATCTCCACATATCCTTCAGATCTTCATTGGTCTTTAACTTAATAAGGTTGTATTTCACCCTTCCATCAGTATCAATCTAATCTTCACAAAAATCGATCTTTCTCACTTTTATATTTTCAATATCAGGCACCAATTCATTTAACTTGGATGTTAAGGTGACGAGAGATATGGTGCCATCTGGAAGTTGGATATCTACGGGAGGTGAAACTTCGTTGAAGTAAACTTCTTCCTTAATCAAAAATTGAGGAAGATGCATTTTGAGATGTTTTGAGATGTTTTACATCAATTGTAACATGCATCATATACCTAAAACCATGATTGATCCTATGGAACACATATGAGCCAGTACTGATCCCAAGATCCTCAATAAGTCCAAATACTATAAGAAATAGAAAATGATTATATTAGTTTACCAAAGTCTTGTAACCTTCACCAAGAGCCTAATGAAACTCATTACACCAAGAACTACCAGGATTATCAAAAGAAGCACAGAGATAAATAAAATCCTAATATACCTCATAAAAATCAAGAGCCCAAAAACCAATATAAATAGTAAACCCGCCCATACACAATTAAAAAAATTAATAACCTAGAACGATCCCAAATTTTCTGTCTATGAAGAAGAAGAAATTCAAGAAACAAAAGAACACACAACAATCAACATTTTGGGGAAAATAATCATAAAACAAGCATATACATAAGGGGTTTATCCAAGTTGTTTTGTCCATCATTAGGTGTAATACCCATAACCTATTGGTCAAGGAATTGGAACTTACCATTTTTAAAATAACTATGAATATATCAAAAGACCATAACAAAATACTAAAAGGAAGCGCCTGAGTCTTCTAAAATTTTTGGTTCATTTTGTAAGAGTGGAATGGAATGAGTTCTCTTACTTAGTTCTATGGAATTTTCCAAAACCCCAATATGGGTTTAGATATAAGGGTTGCCCATCAATGAAAAATTCTCATAGGCAGACCTAAAATTAGGCAAAAAGTTGGGAGGTGTTTATGAAGCAGACATTTTTGA